TTTGAGATGTTTGTTGACTATGCTTTCGCAAAGAGCCACGCTTGATACCTATTTCTGAGGACAAACGGCGAATGAAACGCGCCGAGTTCCAGCGCAACTTCCAGCGTACCTTAGCAATGTTTATCCTTGGTAGTAACATTAGTTTGCTTCCGCGTCCAAGTCGATCGTAGTGGTTCCCAACTCCTTGAACCTTGCAATGGTGATACGAGCTTCCTGGAGACACCAAGCCGCTTTGCTATGTTACACAATCGAACACCTTGGCGGTGAAAACAGATGATCGTTTCACAATGAGCTGAAGCCCTGGCCATTTTAAAATTAACCCAGCCTATAGGGCAGAATTGAAGAGGAAGCTTCCAGGTAACGATATAATAACAAAACACTTACAGTGAAAACTCGTAGCGATGAGGGTAAAAACTGTTGTGGGCTGCGCACTTGCTAACCGGTAATTTTTTGCCCACCCTGTACATATGATGATGACCTGCTGACAGAAACTGTATTGTAGTAAACACATTTTGTAATTCTTGTAACCTGAGGAACATCTTAACTTGCTTAGGATCTTTTAGAACAATTGTCGCTTTCACGACAGCATCCTTACCAACAGTATCATTCCCAGAGTTATAGAGGGCGAGGGAGCGGGACTAGTAGAGTAAAGAAATGATCTTGCGACAGCGGTGCACTGATGGACCCAGCTCTGCAAAGATGCACTTTTATTATTTGTGTTGTTTTCAAACACGTCTATCGCATAGAGTTAGAGGAATAGACGACTGAACCTGCAATAGCTATTTTCTACCATGTTTTCTCACATATCCTTGCTTTATGCAGCGCCACACCCTCTCTCTCCTATCCGCACCACGATGCCACTGACGTTATTGACCCTTACGAGAACGACCCCTCATGACAGGGTGAGTATAGTCAAGGAATCTCGATCAGGTTCCGTACTTTATCAGGCGGTCGAGGGTACCTACTCCTGGGTCAGTAAAATCAGTGCACTCGTGGTGCAGATAGGAATAGGAGGTTACGCAGCAGGAAAGGAAGACCCCTGACAAAAATATTTTGCAGGTGGCAGTACGCTCGCATTCCTCTACCCTTATGAGAGGGACCTATTCAAGATTTCAAAGGATGGAAGTGCAATTCCAGTATAAGCAAATACGAGGCCGCATGTGCAGCACGCACTGCAAAGCACCTTCCTCATGTTCGCGCGCTCCATTCCTTGATACCTCGTTTTGCATAAACTGTGGATGGGGACGCTGTCGCAAAACGACAACCGTGAAGAAGGACCTGGGCAAATGAAGCTGTACCTCAGGCTATAGGAGTTACGGAATGTGTTTACAATGCAGCTTCTGTTACCTAATCATGATCATATAAACCTTCAATCGATTCCTGCAACTTCGAGTGGAGGTCGGATGCATGGATTATATTAAGACAAGTCGGATGATGACAATTGCCCCTTTTCTTATCGATTACGTTGGAAGAATGTATTCTAGACACATTTCGAGCTTTGCCAACGAATTACATCTGCAATGGTGAAGAAGGCAGTGGATTTTTAAGCGACCGAGAATCACCCTCGATAATTCTTCACGCATATATCTCCTTAGCTAGCGAATTCAGAAGGAAGCTAAACATACTGTTTGTAAGCGCAAGCCTTCCAGTTTACAGAAAGCACTTATTTTCGATATTTCGAAATATTGCGGAAGCTAGAGAGATTATTGCCTTTCAAGTGAGCAAAAACTTGATGAAATTTTATGCCTGCCTCGATGTTCCGCTTGACTGGTTTTTGAGAGACTATTATCTGCTTCGAATGGAGCTTCACAATAACAATATAAATATTTTAGTATGGTGCTGTCCCGAAGCCTCATAAAGATCTGAATGTTAAACAACAATTAGAGGCTCCAAAATTTATTTCAAAAAGCTTTAAAACACTTAATTTCGAAAGCTTTCCAAAACTTTTGCAATATTTCGGTGCTTAGCACCTTCGTCAGGCCTGAAATAGCTTTTCTCACACAAGCTGGACAATATACGGGATATATTGAAACTACTCACACGCGTTCGCCTCAGTACAGCTTCCAAACTTACCCAACGGAAGTTAGGGTAACTCGCTCGCGCCCTAAATAGTAGGAATGCCATGCAACGGTCAAAATGCATGATACTATGTGAGAATTTGAAGGATGTCACGTAGCTCTTCCTTGCTGTTATTTTCGGATGCTAATCGTTTAATCTCAAGGGCTTCCAGTATTTTCCTTTCTGTTGCGTTCTCTATTGAGCGGTGTAGCACTCTAACACGTTGACGACAACGCGGGTTTTCGCTTCTTTGGCCGCGTGGGACCGGCGCGATTTTGCGAGCGCCGCCCTCAGGTCCTTCAGGCGAATTTTGCGTGCTAAATGCATAAGACATGATTGATACAAAGTTAGATTAGTATTTTTCAGTGCGTAGAAGCGCCCCAGAGATACAGTAGTGAAATTTTGATCGAAATATGGATGGGAAAGTAGTGAAGAAGCAAATTTTGTTAGAATCAGCTGCAAATAACGTCAAAAGCAATTTTGCATCGATTGTTGCAATCAAAACACATATCTTGCCATCCTTGAGGTTCCGTATTGACTTATACTACCCTTTGAATATTCACATTCATGAGAAGGAAATGTAAACAAGAAATCAACTAGACTGACGACTTCGTTCGGTTCAAAAGACCTCCCCTAATTTGAAGCACACGTGACCATTCTAAGAGCGACTATGTTTGTATCTACGCTAAGGTTTTCTCTATGGAATGAATACAAGAAGCCTAAAAATGAATCACGTGTGCGAGAAAAAATGAATGTGCATTGGGTGCAGGACACATACGTCCCGCGTTGTCCGTCATGGCCTGCAAAGTGCGGGACGTATGTGTCCTGCGCTGTCGTCACGTGTTAAATTACTAGTATGGGGGGTTCTTCTTGTGCATGCTCTTTTGTACGATGTCTGGAGAAACTGCTATTAGGATAAGCCGGTGGATTTCTAAACGCCCTGCGGTGCTCATCTAGCCTTTTATATGAGAGGTCTCTTCGTTTCTCCGACATATTTTTGCCCACATCCCTTGACATTCTACTAAGTAAACCGCCCCCTCTGCTGACATATTTTGGTGTCAGTACAGTAGCTACAACCCTCTCTGCCGCACTTTTTTCCTCATAGGGCCTTGAGTATGTGAGCAGGCGTTTGAGATTCGGTGGCGGACGGAATATTAATCGTATCGGGAGAGGTGAGCTTTTGACCACACTGTTCACTTTCAGTGCCGAGCTTTTCATTAACATTACGTTAACAATTAACATACGGCGTCACCATGAATATGTGGTGTCGAGTGTGGTCTCCATGTACGTATTGGTGCCTTAACATAACCGTTCTCCCTTAGAATATTGTCCACCATCGAATCTACTTCATCCGATTGTTGGGTACAAATTTTCTCCTTGGTGGTGATTAGGTTCCGCACTATGTTGGCCTTCATGTATGTAGGATGGCAGCTCCTAGCGTGCAGCAACACATTTTTTGATGCTGGTTTCTTATACCAAACTAACTCTGTGGCCCCATTTCTTATTCGGACCTTTGTATTTAGGAATGGAACAAAACCTTCCGCATTTGGATTTTCTACAGTAAACTTGATATTGGGATCTTGTGAATTTAAATTATCAAGTGTTTCTTCCAGCTCATTAGAGGAGGAGCCGACTATGAATACGTCGTCTATGTACCTCTTGTAGAAAATTATTCCAGCAGTTAATGACCTTTGTTCCAAATGGTCCAAATATACAATTGCCAGCAGTGGAGCTATTCTTAATCCCATTGCCAAACCGCGATGTTGAGCGTAAATTTTCGATCGAATTGAAAATATTGCACTCCAGAGTAGCCTTGAGTAAATCTCTCAATTCATCCTCGTCAAGTCCAAAAGTGTAGATTCTTAACTCTAATATTCTATTCTAATTTATTCTGAAATTCTAATATTGCCTGATAGTAGCACAATCTAGCTCTGTCTAAATCTACCACGTGCTGCTTAAAAGGTTAGGAAATAGAGGAATGGAATGCTTTCATCGAGGGTGTAGATTTCAACGGTTTTTTTTTCGGGATTTCAGCAATAGCTGACCTCCGACAATAAATCGCGGCCGGCAGCTCCATTTGAATCAACACATTATTGATTACACACTGCTGTCTGATATACTCAGCGCAGTTCAATCGCAACGGCCCCGAAGGATTTCTGAGCCTTTCTAAAGGAACCTGTTTTGGAATCATACAAAGTTAATGCCTCCTTCCTCGAGGCTATATTTCAGCAAATACACAAAGGTGTGCAGCGATGAAAGAAAGTGCATAGATGACAAGAGAAGGCGTTTACAGTTTTATTTTGGAGGAATTTTTTGTTTATTATTTGTTATTATTTGTTATCTTGTTTATTAGTTGAATTAATTGCGTGTGCTCTGGTTATGGCGGTCGTTGCCCGGCTTCGATTACATGGGGAGGGGTTCGTCTTCTTGCGCTCCGTCGTACGACACGATTTCACCCTGCTCATGACCCATCCTGACAAATTGACCACCCTGTCGAGGATTTCCTTGACCGATATTCACCCTGCGTCGTGCCGGTGTGCAAAAGCCGCTGGCCCTCGGTAAGTTAATTAGGGCGCTGTGCTGATTATTCAAATAATCAGTATCTTTCTAGAATCTGCTTTTTCCTGATAATGTCTGTGTAAGCAAGGCCGCGTGCCCTAAATTAGGTTAAGTATTGCGTTCATTGTGAACTCTCACTTCTAGAAGCTCGTTCAGTGCGTTCAGGGAATTTCGTGACAACAGTTGTCCTCTTGTTGCGTTATTTCCAAGTGCGTTCTTCTCAGTTAGTTTTAATTCATTTAAAATTCATTCGTTTAAACAACTACTTTTTCTTCCAGGATCTGCATCTGCATGCTACAATTCCGTGGCACTCAAACCCTTTACGTGAGTTCCCTATAAATGTACGATATATATTCATATATATATATATATACGTAATATGGTAAGTGTAACATGATAATGTAATATTAATATAAGGATAAAGAGCATGTGATTCGCCTCGGCCGCCTGTAACTTTTCTCCTCATTTTGAAGTACGACCGCTTAGAAGGTGGACGAGCCTGTTGTGCCCACTGTCGCAGGCGGTTCGTCGAGGCCGCATTCAAGGGACGCGGTGACCTTTACACGGCCAAGCCTTCATGCGTGAAAATTCACGGAGCTTAGTTCTCTATATGTGAAACTGTGTTGTGAGGAAGTGAGTTGGGGGAGGGAGAGGTGTGGCTTGCTAGGGCAGAGAGTTATATTTACGCTTTCAACATCATGAAGCTTTCGTTGCGGGTACCCCCAGTCCCGCTGCCGATCTGTGATGGATCTGTGATTTCTGCATCGGAGTCTCGCGCTGCAAAAAGCGGAAAGTCGCATTCGTCTGATTCTCCGATATAAAACAATGAACGTCCAGACAAGTGGATAGACTTGTTAATCCCCCACCCCGGGTATCGATTGCTCACTTTTCACTGGGAGGTGTATCTTCTTTTCATTACTGTTTTTCGAGATCGAACTATACGACGCTGCAGTCATAAGCAAATTGCCGATTTGTGCAGATGGCCAAAGCGTATACATTCAGATCAAAGGCCATCAGGTTCATCACTACTGTTCTGTCAGATATGTGTGAGATAACAGGAATTGAACAATCCACAACTAAGGGCTATAATCCCCACGAAAATGGAAAACGGAACGGGTCGGAACTTAAACCTGAGAATCTAAAGAGAAATACTATAGGTCCAGACTACTAGGTGATCGCTTGATGCTAATCTCCCCTATCGGTAGTTTTTGCTACAAACTATTGCACTCATGATACCACGGAGTGAAACCTTCTTTTTCTTTGTTACCGCCATGGATGAATGCTGTTAACGTAATTTCTCCGTAAACTATCCGACCATGTGATATAATGATACCATACCAGCTATGCGGGGATTCTATTGGTGCAAGGTGCCCCGCCAATTATGGAAAAAACAAAGAATGAAAGAGGCATATGATAAACGTAATAAAAACCGATCCAGGGAAAGCTGCTAAAAGTAGGAGACAGAGTTTTCTTGAAGCTCTCCACGAAAAAGTACAGCAGGGCGTTCCCAAAACTGTGTGAACCTTGGGGTGGCCCTTATCGGGTGATTGAAACCACTGAAACTCCGCACTCTTGTCGCACATTAACGAGAAAAAAGAACCAATTAGAGTTTTTTTTGACTCACTCAATAGATTTGCCTTCAGAGATACATAACATACCATTAGAAACAAAAACAAAAAGAATTAGTTCAGTGTTTAAAGTCAGAGCCCTCCGATAGCTATGGCTATCAATGACCATTGGTTCTTTTCCAGTGCCCTGGCGAGTTTACAGTCGAGACGCACTTATAGGCAGATTCATTGTTTTATTCTAAAAAAACCTCTAAAGATTGATCAAGCGGCAGAAACCATTGGCGAAATCCGCTTTGATACAATTTTTAGTTTAGCTCGTCTCATTTCAATTTATGAAAGTGAACGCAATGATGATAGTAGACGCTTTTTGATGACTGATTCTAAGTTTCCATTCATAACTGCCACAGGATCTCAAAAAGCATTCACATTCTATAAGCATTGTTGTGATCATGTGTTCCGTAGCTTGGCATTGCATGATGGATCTCTCCTTAGCTTACCCCACGATGGCGGTACGGGTTTTCCAATAAATCAACTCAACGATCTCAACAACGAAGGAGTAAAATTCGCCAAGATGAATTCGTGGAAGGAAATCGTTGCCGAAACGCAACGACAACATACGACATTATTGCTGTTACCGGATGGATTCAGACACGTGAACTCAGCGTTCAAGCCGCAGCACAACGTCGAAAGAAAAGTATACTACAAGTTCTATGAAGTCAGCAGATTCTTGGAAACAAGTTCCTCGAATACTTGTATTGTAGTGGGTCCAACACTGGATGTCACTCCGCCAAAGAAAGAGTGGTGTAGATTCGCCTCAGCTTTAGCCGCAGCGGCTCGCAATGGAAACCAGAGTTATCGTCCTGGCGCCACCACGTGGAGACGCGGCTTACGCCCAGAATAGAATCGAAATGAACCAGGCCGTGGATCTCGCAAAGAAGTCAGCCGCTTTGATGTCACGTAACATCACAAGTCTGATTCCAGTAATTGAAAGCAGCACTGAGCCATCACACGGACCCGCAGCACACCCGAGAAGAGGCAGCCTTGAAGCATATTCGACGGAGACAATGTCTGAGTACCTGGAGGCCATGATAGAATAGAAGTGCAACTTCCCAAGTTAGTCGAAAAAACGATGAGATCAGCAAGAGCTGAAAGGGTGCGCAGATATTTTGAGGAAAAGAAAGAGAAACGCAAACTCGGAACATGAAAGAGAAATATGAAAGATATCATAATCATACATTCAAAAACTTCAATCACTCCCGTCCCGAAACCAGTCAACCATACACAATAACGCCAGCGACGTTCACCTTCCCAAGCAGAGGACACCAATTTCGACGTGGAAGAGGATCCCACTGACGTCAGTCAAGCTGCAAAGCGGCGAGGACGCCGCTTCACCCGGCGGGGAAATATCACATTACCACTGTTTTCTCATTTGTTCAATTCTTTTTATTGATGACCCCTTGTTCGGTGATGCCGCGCTCCCGCGCTCTGCTCTTGACCCCCATCGATACTGGCGG